AAATTTTTTTTTTTCAACCTCAAAAGTCTTCAAACCTAAGCTTTTACACTTTGATATTGATGATTATTTGTTTTTTCTCTTCCCCAAATTGTGTGGAACTGTATTTAAAGTGTCAAAAACTTGTATTTATAGTTGTATCCACGTTTTTGATTGTTGTAGGATTTTATAGGCTTTAAAAGGACCAAAACCATGCCCTAATCCGTATGAGTGGCGTCGCAGCGCCGCAAAGACAAAGAGGTGGCAGCTGGGCACCATTTCTCGAGAAAATTTCAGCACTACACTTCCTTTAATATTTTTATGATAATTTTCTCTCCGATATCTGATAAAGTCGATGTAAATTAGGTTGTAAAGATAATTTAAAGGGATACAATTTTACTCGAAATAACATTTTTTCAATTAGAATGTTTACTAGATAAAAAATGAGTACCAATCTTGAGTAGAAAATTTGGAATATATTTGTGCGGTTGAAACTTGATTTGTATCCATATTTTGACCATATTTCACTCCTTTTTGACTTCTAATTGCACCCAATTGACCCTTAGTATTTTTGAATTTTCATGTTGAGATCCAACACAACTTTTAAGTATTTACACTTTAGTCCCCAAACAGTAGATCTTCCCCTCCATTCGTCGATTTTCCGCTTCTTTCTTTGAATACCACTTCCATTCATCAAATTTCACCTAATAAACAAAATATAAAATAAATTAGGCTATAATTTTCAAATAAACTATTAATGTCTATATTTTTTGGTCCAAATAAGTGTATAAAATACACCATCAAAGTTTCACCTCTACACGTGTAACAAAATACTTCGCACATTCAAAATATTTGTTGCATAATTACTGGTTCACCATATTTACTCACTTCAGTAAACTGGACAAGACATTCATTAAATAAATAAGAAGTCACTCGTGCTCGACCTAGAATGCTGTAGAAGACAACATGTGGGAAAACCAACATTTTAGTCAGTAACAAGTCCAATTTTTTTCTTTCCTACTTCAGGATTATTAGAGAAATGTTAGGTGCACATAAATTGAACCCGTGACACAAATCCACTAAATAGTAAATACACATTTGGGACCATTCTAGGGAGGAGCACCTCCTGCCAACTTCTGTTGCATCTTTTTGTAAAAAAATAATTTGTTTATGTTGAAAAAAATATTTTAATTTCTGTATTATCTTGTCAATGATTGGAACTTTTTGGTCATTTTCTGCCTTAGAAATAGTCACGTAGTCACATGCTATGTGCAAGTATATGGACAAATTTGGAGGGACAACCCTCACATGAATTCATGAGGTAACCTTTTCTTTATAATTTCTTTAAAATGAGGTACTAGAATCGGAAATATTTTATAGTATGTGAAGATCAATGTGTAAACATATTAGGATGGATATTAAAATCAGATTTTTTTAAAAACAATTTTGATAAAAATTGATGAAATATGTGATTAAAAAGTTTGGATAACATAATATCTGTTATTAAAATTGATTATTGACTTTGACTTATAATAAAATATAGATTAAAATCATTACTAAACAACGACATAAAAATGAGAAAAAAATAATGTGCAGCCTATTGAAGCTAGATTAAGAGAAGATTAATTGAGATGGTCAAACATGGCCGTCGTAAATTTAAAGATGTTTTAATTCATAAGATTGTTGCGATTTTGGTAGCAAATGAAATTAGATGAAAGATTACGAGATCAAGGCATAGTTTAAATGAAAAGAGTGTAACCTTTCCACGTCAGTGAAACGCACTTAAGTCATGTTTTTATTATTATTATTATTTCTAAGTGGTGTGGTCCATTGTGACGCTGATATGAATTATGAATTGCTAACTATATACTTTTTATTTTTAAACAAAAGAAAATAGACTTCGACTAGTTTAATCAATTTTGGCAAGAATAAGAGTGTGCGCTACCGAAAGAATTTCAACAATCACGTGGCTCTAACATATTTGACTAAGCTCTTAACATATTTGGCTATACACAGATAGCTTATAAATCATTTATAAATTAATCAGATAGAGACTTAATCAAAACATCCACTCAAAATTATGAGTAATTTTCAAAGGTGTTTGTAGGTCACAAAGCAAATCAAGTAATTATGACTTCCAATAGACAAAAAGTGTAACTATAAAGGTCACTAAATATTTCTACAACATGAAAAAGTTCAGATTGAAATTCTTCCTGTCAAAAAGTGCCACAAAAGAATTAAAAAGGCATGAATGGAAGATTTAATATGCATGCAAATTCTAATCTCAAAATATAAATTCCACACAAAATATATGGTAAAGAATCTTTGTCTATCAATCAATGGATTTGCCTTAATCTTCTTCGCAATTACCATCAATTATATAACTAATTAATTTTCCCATAGCCCGACAAACCAACCTAATTCAACTTCACCAATGAGACTTCGATGCCGTTATCGTGTTGATTGATATGCATTGTCGAAGATGATTCAAAGATATAATCAACATGTCCGTATTTTATTTTCTTCCTCAACAATATTTAGTGCTATCAAATTCACCCTTCAAATATGTAATACATTTCTTAATTCTTTTCATATTTTGTTTTACAAAAAGTTTAACAAAAAAAGATTGTATTTTCTCATATGTTTGAAGAATGTATTTAGATCATTTTCTCATAGTTGTATAAATCTATCACACCCGTCGATTTATCTCGAGTTCTTACTTTACGTGTCTACCTTTTTTACTTTTTCTTTTACGTCTCGTGTAAAAAGTTGAGAAAATTCAATGTCCACTTAATTAACATAAAAAGTGTCGCTTTCTTTATAATCTTTTTATGCAACTATTTGTTTTGCAAGGCCGTTTACTTTGCAAATTTGTCACACACAACACAATAAAAGGCGATAACCCCTAAACATCTGAATCGAAAGTTTTCTTCTCATCAATTATCTATTAAAACAAGTGTAAAAACAAATTAAAATAAATTACACATACAACTAGCACGCTGAGTATTCAGAACGAAAGAAAAATGTTGACTTGGTTAAACTCTGACAGTGTATTAATATATATATTTTCCAAATTTCCTCTCGTGTCTTTGTACCTACACAAAAACTCTTGCATTAATTAATTTATTAAGTTATTTATTTTTTAGAAACACTCTAATTACCCGTTCATGAGAACTCATTTTTGACACAAACTTGAAAAGAAATAGAAATTTTTCTTTAATATATAGAGGCAATTAATTTTGAATTGTGAAGGATTGAACCAAAGAAAGATAGACTTTTCATTTAACAAAATTTCCATAAAATGAATAAAGTTGTTAAATAATTTGCTCTTAAAGTTAAGGTTGTACCACAAGAAATTGTTGGATATAAGTCATAATTAATGAAATCATCAAGGCTTCTCCTGCTGTCCTCCATCATCGGGCATTTGTCTGGTTCATCCTCAATAAATAAAAACACACAATGAGAAGAACCCTAACTACCTCCCCTTCATTCGTCCTCAACAACCAATAAAAAACAACTCTTTTCTTCGTACCCATTAAGAATACTGAAACTATCAAGAAAATTTAAATGTAGCTAGCTGATCAGCTTCATTTCATGATTTCTTGGTGGTGAAGAGTAAGCAAATTAGAAACAGCTTGGAGTTTTGCTATTAGCATTTTGGGTTCTTTCTTTTCTTGGATAAATGTGAGTAAAGATTTTAGCTTTTTTTCTTCCAAATAATTTGATGGGATCTTATTTTATATTTTCTTTTATTTGTTTTTCTGATTCTTTGCTTGTTTCTTTATACGTAAAATATTTATGTAGTAATTTATGAAATATGTGTATAATATTTTTTACTAATTTGTCATTCCTTTTTTTGAAGAATATTCGCATGGAGTAGATGAAATAAGAGAAGAGAAGAAAAAGAAATCAGAAACGGAGAAAAAGGAAACGAACTTCAAGTTCAGGTATTGGATCAGCCATTATTTTTCCAAGAATTAAAATATTTTACGCACACAGGTGTGTTCATATGTATATATAACTTATATAAGGGTGTAAGTGTACAGAGTTTTTTATGCTTTTATTTGATTAATTTGAAGAAGAATTTTAGCTTTTGCAGCTGAATGTCATCTATGCTTATTGAGTTTTATTTGGAGAATAAATTGAATTGGCCAAGGTTTTGCTTTTCTAACTTTTATAGGTTTTTTTTTTTTTTTCCGTGAATGAACAGATTTGGAATTGTGGGGCGTGAGGAGTTGGGACAGATTGGCTAAAATGAGGAACATAAGGAACATCTGTTCTTTTCTTATTGTAATGTTATTGGGTCTTTTGGTTCTTGGGAAAGCAGAAATATACATTGCGACAGTTGAAGGGGAACCCGTGATAAGTTATAAAGGTGGTGTCGATGATTTTCTAGCCACTGCTGTGGAATCTGATTCTAATGAGAAAATTGATGTCACTAGGTATTTTTAACATTTATTTAAACCTAGTCATATATTTATAAAATTGCTATGAGTTTGTGGTTGATGCTTTTCTGAGTTCAAATTGTGTTATGGTAATTCTACATCTCTCCCACTTGATTTTATATTTAGATCAATGTTCGCTTCATTTGTTCACTGTTAGTTAAATTTTTCATTTTGAATTAGTGGTTCGGTGGAACTTGATTGGGAAAGAAAAGCTCAGAGTATGAGAAAACGGGTCTTCTGGTGGTGATATCATCAACATGTCAATGTTTCATTTAATTTTCACAGGCTATGCATCATAAGAAGTTGTTTGACCTTAGGTATTAAGCAATGTTTATTTCATTATCAATAAAATATTTTGAGACAATGTTGTTAAGGAAAAAATAAGGACGATAATTTAAGTTTGTGCGAATTCCAGTAAAATTGAGATTTAGTTTAGTACTACATAATATTTGTGTAAAATTGCCTCAATTATTGTGAGATGTATTTCCCCATTTGGTCTAGAGAAGATTTTATATTGCTTTTGCTTTCAGTTTCTTGGTGAGATATTCTGTTATGATAAGCCTGGTTTCCTATTGACCTTTCATTGGGTTTTTGAGGTCAGTGAATTTCAAGTTTTAACTAGATGCATCATTGTGAAATTGGCACCTAAAATTTACCAGGAATGCACTGTACGATACATGTTGCATGCTGTGACAATAAAAGAGCTTCTTTCAAAATAGTTTGTTTCATAACCAGACAGCCTAGTCGTGCGTTTCTGAATTGGCAACATGGTATGATTAGTATATACCTTAAGAATTATGTAAATACAAGCTTTGATTGTTGAAATGGTTTTCCCTCAGCGAGAAAGAAATAGTTGAAGCCTTGATATTTCATGTTACTCTACATTTGAAAATATAGAGATGGACGTCTTTTCAGGTTTGTCTGGGAGGAAATAGAAGATGAACCATGCTATTCAAATGAATCGATAAAAGTTTATGCAAAACAACCTTATGGCATCACTTTCATGTCCTCTATATATTGGGCCAACACTTTCCAAATTATGAGGATTTTAAATTGCTATTAGGTCATATCGACTGCCTTTGGATTCCTGGTTGGTATTCGTTTCAGAGCAGAACCTATTAGTTGTCTCTACGAGTACGTGTTGTATACTACATATTTAGGCTTTCCTTGGTTTTCAATGTTATTATTACTGCTTTAATGTCTCTTTTTCTCTGACTTGAGGTTGATTACGATCTATTTGTCTGATTTTGTGCTTTTTTTTGCCTCTGCTACAGTGAATTGGTAACATCTTACGCCCACCATCTAGAGAAGAAGCATGATATGCTTCTTGGAATGTTGTTTGAGCGTGGGACCTACAGGAAGCTCTATAGCTACCGTCATCTTATCAATGGCTTTGCAGTTCACATTTCTCCCGAGCAGGTGATCTGCTATCTTATTCATTGTGACCTTCAATACTTTTCTGCTTGTATTACTTACATAACCAATGTATTAGTAGGCAGAAATACTTAGAGGAGCACCTGGTGTTAAATCTGTTGAGATAGATTGGAAGGTGAGGAGACTGACAACCCACACACCCCAGTTTTTGGGGCTTCCTACTGGTGTATGGCCAACAGGAGGTGGCTTTGACAGAGCTGGAGAAGATATTGTGATAGGCTTTGTGGATTCCGGTATTTATCCTCATCATCCAAGCTTTTCAAGTCACAACACTGAGCCCTATGGGCCTGTTCCAAAATACAGAGGAACATGTGAAATTGATCCAAACACCAAGAAGGACTACTGTAATGGGAAGATTATTGGAGCTCAACATTTTGCCAAAGCTGCTAAAATGGCTGGCGCGTTTAATGCTGAAATTGATTTTGATTCTCCCCTTGATGGTGATGGACATGGAAGGTTTGAGTTAATTGCTTCGATAATTGAATTTCATCAGGTTATTGTGCTCCCTTATTCTTGCGTGTCCTCAACACCACCTTGAGAAGGCAGCCATGATAAGCGTTGTTTATGATGCTTGATAGCATATTGTGCACTTTGTTGCATTAAGTTCTAATTATCACCATATTTCTTCATTCTCCTGGTACCTTTTCAATCCAATAGCCTGCAACCTACCCTGTTTTCTTAAAATTTTCATTCCTGTTCTGTGCATGTTTATACTTGATTTTTGCAAACAGTGGGTACCTTTGTGGACAATTTGTTATACGTGCGTATGCATACATGTCTTTTCTTCTGGGTGTAACTTTATATCTATTCAATTATCTGTCCATCTATCTTCCTGATGTCGTATCATGTGTTAGCATGCATGTGCGAGTTGTTATCCCTCCGTGCTTCTTGGTCTTGTTTTTATACATTATTTCCATCAACATTGAAATCTATTTACTAATTTTGTGAGAGATTTGTTCCGTGACTGTAATTCATGCATCTGTCCAATGAAGAGCCTGTCCTTGTCTCTTTTCACGTAAACCCTGAAAACTTGTCATCCAAAAAGCAAGAAGCAGATATTTGACTGAATACATCATTTTCAACTTTCTCATAACTGAAGAGTCTGACATGGTGTGCAGGTATAGAAACTGTTTTTGTGGACAATATTTTAGAAAACTCAAGTTTGCATCTTATACAAGGCAACATAGGCTTTCACGAAGACATGGTTTTGACTCAGAGCCGTATCTTTTCCTACTGGGATGTACAGCAACTCCATGTTCTCTCATCTCTAACTTTTCTCTAACCTGATCTGTACAGTTCAATTTAATTGCTGTCTCAATGTCTTGATTTCTGTTGTGAAATTACATTTCTAGGAGTACTTTGTGCTTCGTAGACAATATTTATCTGAAGAAAGAAAAAGAAAGAAAGGCTTCATAAACATTATTTTGCAACGGATTCAAAAAAGGAAAAAAAAAAAAGAAAAGAAAGCATTTCAGAAAAAAATGTTTATCTTGTAGTTTCTGTTCCAGTTCAATCTTTTTTTGCTATAGGTTTCTTAATGTAATTGTTTTTTTCCTGGAACTTAACTCGGCAATATTTTTTGCCAGCCACATAGCGGCTATTGCAGCTGGAAATAATGGAATTCCTGTGAGAATGCATGGATTTGAATTTGGAAGAGCAAGTGGGATGGCACCTCGTGCCAGGCAAGTTTTTGACGGCATTCACTCATGATGTTCTGATGCAAATCTGTTACATCCTGTTTTGTCAATGACAGATATTCTTCCCACGGTTAAAATGTTCATATTTGTTCAGGATTGCTGTCTACAAGGCCCTCTACAGATTATTTGGTGGTTTTGTTGCAGATGTAGTTGCTGCAATTGATCAGGTATTTTGATATGTCAAAACACTGACATGTATTTTACCGACCTTGCTGTTTTTCTGCTGAGATTGCTTATGGTTTATTATTGAGACAGCTTACATGAATTATTTTTCTGATCTACTTGAATACTTTCTTTTCGCCCGAATTTTCCCCCCTTAGTTCTTTTCTTTACTTTTTCCTGGGTGGCAGGGGGTGGAGTGGGGTGCGGAGGTTGTGTCATGTGTTTTTGCTTTTGCCACTAAAGACTCTGTTGAACCTGTACATGTCATATCTTGCTAATGTCGATTGAGGCTCACCAGGTAATTAAACCTGGATCGCACAGAATAATGGATGGGCATGAATCTGAAGAATCTTTAGCAAGATATTATTATTTGCATTTGCAGAGAATGGATTTATTCCATCATGATGATGATTTTTTTTTTTTTTTTTTTTTTTTTTTTGGGGGTGGGGGGATAGTTTTAGGATCCGCCCTGTTTAACAAAAATGTCATTTTCAATGTCTAATATTGCTTATAGGTTGGACTGTGAAAAGTTTCACCTTCTATTCTTTTGATGAAAACAAATGATTTTTTTTGCAGTGATTGTGTTAAATTTACGATAAAAGTGCAAAATTTTTCGGTTTGATTTCAATTTTGTTGTTTTTTATTTGGAAACCTGTGAGAGTTGATAACACATTATTGGTTTTAGGCATTTTATACTATTAAAGTGGCTGTATCCGACTGAAAGATGCACATAGTTATGTCTATGCATCAAAACAACTCTCTCTTTTTTCCTGGAGTTTCAGAATCATGCAAAGAATTAGGGACTATAAAATTTACAGCACTAAGATGCTGAGCAGGAGACCTTCCTTGACATTGCAGCAATTCTAACAGAACAAAATATCTGGTCTGACCTGTAATATGGTGGCTGGATCATGTCAAAAAAAAAAAAATTATGTTAGAAGCCAAAAATGTCATTGACTCTTTAAGCTAAAACTGAAAGCTTTACCTAGTCCCACAGTAGTAATAAACTGTAAAAGACACATATAGTTGAAGTGGGCATGCAGATAACAACTTTGTGCAACCTTCTTAATTAAATAAGCTTCGAAATCCGAAATACGAAAGTAGTAATATGTTAAATGAATTTGAAATGTACACAAGAAACACCCATATTTATAGTGGTTTTCCCTCAATGGGAAAGTTGTCTCCACTGTTTACAGCCTTCAAGTTTTCATTACGAAGAAGAAGACTATGATGGTGATCTCATGCTTCTCTGGATGTGTTTCAGAAAATGACAACCTAACAAGTCTTTTATATATGTGGGAAAAAAGGGAATAGTAGATCGACCTAATACATGTATAGAGAGTGGTGGAACCGGACATTTTACATTGTGAGTTCTAAAGTAAGTAGTAAATTTTTTTTGGGAACAACGTAATGCTAACAAAGGGTTGAGACATGAGAGATAAGAAGCGAGGTGGTCTGATCGATAAATATTTGTGTCGCCTGTATCAACGAGTTGAGCAATGACAGACGTTAGATTTTGATGAAATTGACACCTAGATATTAGAGACGAATGCGAAATGTATAATAATTTAAAATTTTAGCTTTTAAGGAAAAAAGCTGTGCGTAATGCTCAAAAGAGGGGAGGAGTAAAATTTTAAATTTTGGATGAAAAAAATGGACCATGTGGATCCGCCAGTGTGTATGGAGCATGGAGGTAAAATGACTGCATTATGATTAGACTTCATGTTGTCCAACATTAGCAACACATTCTATCTCAGTTAAATAATGATAGAGAAAACATGTACATAAATGTTTTCCAAATAAACTTGATAATAATCATAAAAGGGTAATTTATTTTGTATATATATGTGTGTGCATATATTAGGGTATAAATTTTCTGAAACACTGTACTTATTTTTGACAGGCTGTTCATGATGGTGTGGACATTCTGAATCTCTCAGTGGGGCCAAACAGTCCTCCGGCAACAACAAAGACAACTTTTTTAAACCCTTTCGATGCTACACTTCTTTCAGCTGTGAAAGCTGGAGTTTTTGTTGCACAGGCAGCCGGAAATGGTGGTCCTTTTCCCAAAACCTTGTTGTCTTATAGTCCGTGGATAGCATCTGTAGGTGCCGCAGTTGATGATCGGAGATACAAGAACCATCTGACCTTGGGAAATGGGAAAATCTTGGCTGGACTTGGTTTGTCACGTAAGTTTTTTGCAGCTTGTCTCAAGCCATCTGAATTCTTAACCCGCCTTAGAGCATCTCAACAAGACTCTTTAAACATAAGATACTCTCAATTTTAAAAAGTCGATCCTTAAAATTATGTTTCTAGAGGCTCTTTAAATTAACATTTTAATTTAGATGCATTCAAAGTATTTCAATTTTCAACAGTGGAAAATAATATAATAATTTGTAGGGAAGTTAATGAAAATAAAAGATAAGAATAAACAATACTTATTTTTTGGAAGTAGTAAAATTAAGTGTAAAATATAAAGAGCCCGTTGGGGGTACTTCAAAAATTTTACTCTCTAAATTTATAGATGCTTACTAAATTGTGGAATATGCTTTTTAAAAATATATAGTCTCTTGAAAATGGATGCTGTTTGCTCTGTCAAATTTGTTTCATATTTTTTTCTGAGGAATAAAAATTGGTATTGAAGTTTGAAATGTTTAGCTCATATTTTTTTTCCCCTCCTTAAAGCAATCTTGCATGCCGTTTGCCTGTTTCTTACAATCTTTGATGGATAAATTTGACATTAACTTGCGTCAGATGATTTGCCTCGGGCACAATGGTTTACATGTTACCCTCTTTATCCATGTGGTTTTTAGAGTTATCTATTGATGTGATGCTTACTAGATGAATATGTGGACTGAAAATGCTGCAATTTAACAATGTGAGATGGAGTTCAAACATTCATGATCAGAGATTTGTTGATCGTGTTTGGAATTAATTACTTCACAAATTTCATTAGGAGGCACATGGTTTAATCATTTATTTTCTCAATCGACTTTAAATCTTCAGTGTTTTGCTTAATAGAGCCCCTATGTTTCTTAAGCTCATGTGTTATTTATGTTTTCCACTCTTCCTGCAGCTGCAACACATGCAAATCGAACATTTACCTTGGTAGCAGCTAATGACGTGATGCTGGATTCTTCAGTTGCAAGGTACAGTCCTGCTGACTGCCAAAAGCCGGAAGTTTTGAACAAGAATTTGGTGGCAGGGAACATTCTCCTCTGTGGCTACTCCTTTAATTTTGTCATTGGTACTGCTTCAATAAAAAAGGTCTCACAAACTGCAAAGAGTCTTGGCGCAATTGGTTTCGTTCTAGCAGTGGAAAATGCTTCACCAGGAACAAAATTTGATCCTGTTCCTGTTGGTATTCCTGGAATCCTCATTTCAGATGTTAGCAAGTCCACGGTGACTATTATGCTTCTGTTCTGCTATTTAGAGCATGTTTGTCTAAGTTTCAACAATTTACTTAAAAAGTGAATAAATTTCAAACTATGGGAAGAAGGGCACTTCCAGGTTTTGAACGTTCTATTTAATTAGCTTGATATTCCTGTTATTTGTCAACTTTTTGTTGTTTGTGTTACTGTTGGCTGCCTAAAATGTGCTCCCGAAATGTTTCTAAAATGATCTGTGGCATGACTTTCAAAGGGAGTTAGATAGTTTCTTTTCTTGACTTTTGTCTTGTCTCAGTTGCAAGACGTCATTGTCACTACATTGTGCATTGTTTGGAGTCTATTTCACTTGAATAAGTTGCTGCCTATAGTTCTCATCATTAATTTTTCTTGGTCTGTTTCATGGTAATCATATCATAGGAACTCATAGACTACTACAATATCTCTACACCAAGAGATTGGACTGGGCGGGTTAAGAGCTTCAAGGCAGTAGGAAGTATCGGGGACGGTCTAAAGCCTATTCTCCACAAGTCTGCCCCACAAGTAGCATTGTTCTCTGCTCGAGGACCTAATATCAAAGACTACAGCTTTCAAGATGCAGATCTCCTGAAACCAGATATTCTTGCTCCTGGTTCTCTAATTTGGGCTGCCTGGGCTCCTAATGGAACGGATGAGGCAAACTATGTTGGTAAAAATACTCATTATACCAATTTAGTCATCTTATTTTGAAGCATGCTAGGTGTACAACCCAGTAATCAACTTGTTTTACAATCAATGAGTTGGCAGAGATCTACACCATACACTTCAAAAACTGTTTTTTTAATCAATGGTGTGGATCCCCACACACCACTAGTTGTCAACCAAGTTGTAAATCTTGGTTGTACAACTAGAATAATTCTCTTATTTTATTCAGTAAAGTCACAGCATCGGTCCTCAACCTATAGGACTTGTAGCAACTTGATCCTCACCTTCAAAAGTTACTGTTTGGGTGTTCTACCTTTCAATTTGTTGTAGTCATGGTCCTTGTGGATGACCTCCACTGAATTTTCTATTATAATGGCATGTGCAAGGGATGTGAGGTACTCTTGTGAGGGCAAATGGGTAAAAAATAAGTAATTTTATAATAGATAAATTGAGGAAATAGAAATAAAAGAAAAGAAAAAAGAAAGAAAAAAAAAAATCTGTCATCCCCTCCAACAGAAATTGCACTATGCCTTGCAAATTCCAATTTAACATGAAATCAGATGTAAAATCTACAAGGGCGAAAGGCTGCAATAAATTGAATGAGTTCCGAAAAGTTCCATTTTAAAGATTGAGGACCAAGTTTCTATGAGCACTCTAGGTTGGAGACCAGTGCTCCAATTCTCACTATTTCTTTTGAGCAATTCTCCCTATCCCTATTCCTTGGAGCAGGTGAAGGATTTGCTATGATATCTGGAACTAGCATGGCTGCACCACATATAGCAGGAATAGCTGCTCTCGTGAAGCAGAAGCACCCCCACTGGAGTCCTGCAGCTATCAAATCTGCCTTGATGACTACATCAACTACCCTTGACAGGGCAGAAAGACCACTTCAAGCTCAAATATATTCTGGATCCGATACTGTGGCTCTGGTCCCTGCAACACCTTTCGATTGTGGGAGTGGCCATGTCAGTCCTAGAGCTGCTCTGGATCCTGGACTTGTTTTTGATGCAGGTATCTTAATACTCTTGTTCTATGATGTTGATAATAGTCAGCTTTTAATGAAGTACCTAATCACTCTAATGGAAATAACATATTTACTTATTGGGGAATAAGCCCTAATTCCGTTCCCAACTGCAATAAGAACAAGCAGATATCAGTTAAAGTGAATATTATACAAATTTTTAGTGGTTCACCTTCAATGTGAGAGCTATATCCAATCCGTTGCTTTCACTAAAATTGAGAAGAAGTTTACAGTACAGATCACACACTTCTGTCTTTTCTCTCTCACTCACAGGAAAACAGTTCCCTCAAATTCCCCAAAAAAGCAAGCTAGGCTAAGGCAACTTAAGACAGAGGTGAACAATATGATAGCCTCCAGCCGGTCCACACCATTCAACATTACTTAGGCTAGTTTCTTATTGAGTCAATACGTAGGACATCTGTTAACCATACAGTCTGGCCCAGGGACTGCTGCTCATCCACTGATTTAAATGCTTAGGTTGTGGTTTATTATTATTTTCTGCCATGGTCATATAAACAGAAATTCAGCTTTAACTTGAAAGAAAATGGTGTTCGGGAAATACTGGTTCCACTAGTTTCAGGACTAGTTTTATTTGGTGCTTTTCCTCGTTAGTTTAGGAGTTACTGAATCATTTTGCTTTCCTAGCTGTTTCAGGCTCTAGGGACTGGACAAACTGGTAATTCTGGGTTTGTAGTCCATTTCTCCATCCATCAAATTCAATGAACTTTAGTTTGAATAAGTACATCGTTATGTTTGATGAATCCATCAAACCATTAGAATTATGTTGGATTGTGTGAAGCCTAATGATAGTCTCAACTTTTTACGGAAATTTAGAGGGTTGGTTTTGTGTATGAGAGGCACAAGGAAATTCTTGTTATCTTGTATGTTTTAGTGGTAACCAACCATGGCAAGTGGTCTTAACTCTTATATTGAGGGCAAATCACTATAAATCTGCTTGTTTGCTTTGCTTTTTTAGATTCTCATTTTGTTATTATCGCTCTCTTAAGAAGGATTAGGACTTGATCCCTGAAAACATTTTCTTATCTCGAACTGACAAGATCCTATAAGCTGGATATTCTTTGTCATCATAAGTTGCTTTCATATACTTCCTTTTGTAGATTTAGCCACCGTTTGACCTCTGTTATTTAAGAACTCTTTTTTTCCAAACTCATTTTCAACTGTACATTCTTCCAACAAAATAATTTTGCACATAAACCTTTAACTTTTTCCTACTCTTTAACTACAAATTCTTATATATGTATATGTGTGTGTGTGTGTGTGTATAACATAGTCTTAATTATACTCGAGCCCTTTAAATGGTTTTGCTAATATGGGATTCACCCTTCCTATGTTGAAACATTTTGTTAGAAGTATGTATTTATGTTCAGTGGAGTTGACCTTAGCATGATTTGAGTATTAAAGAATCATATTTCGGACATTGCAGATATCTATATCGTAGAAGACACCTTATTTCTTGATTCGGCTATGACTACAATTGGGAAAGGTTGTTTCCTTCTTGTGTGCTTATCTCATGTTCTGGTTGACTTGACTTTGTAGGATATGAAGACTACTTAGGGTTCTTGTGCACCACACCCGGAATTGATGCTCAAGAGATAAAAAACCATATGAATTCCCCATGCAATTATACTTTAGGCCATCCATCAAATCTCAACACCCCCTCAATCGCTATTTCGCATCTCGTGGGAACTAAAACGGTCACACGCACTGTGACAAATGTTGCCCAGGAAGAAACCTATGTGATCACTGCAAGAATGGCACCTGCAGTTGCCATCGAAACCAGCCCTCCGGCAATGACTCTACGACCCGGTGCATCACGGGAATTCTCTGTGACGCTCACTGTTCGCTCAGTCACCAGATCCTACAGTTTTGGAGAGGTTTTGTTGAAAGGCAGTAGAGGGCACAAGGTAAGGATTCCTGTTGTGGCCATGGGTTATAATCGGTAGGCTGGTCACAAGTTAATGACACGTTTTGGCATGCAGTATTGAACATGACTAGACAGTGCAGTGAACAAGATTTTAACTTCTCCTTTATCATCGACATTGTCAAGTACTGTGCAATTCATCTCGCCAAATTATGTTATCATGATGGTATTCTTTTGGATCTTTGTGGGGAATATTGTGCATGAGGCCAGATGTGTTTCGTCAACAAGATATATTTCGAGAAGATGAAAAGATAAATGGTACGAAGCGATGTTTCATTTTGTCCAATCGAGTTAGTTTTGCTTATTTGTTGTGTAATATGGTGGAATGCTTGGATTCCCCATTACATTGGAAGTGGCCTTGGTTTGAAGGAGGTTGATAAGGTTTGATACCCTTCTCTACTGTAATTTTGACTGCTTATGTAATAACTAATTATTGTTAGCTGAAGTGTCATATTTTTTGCATTTGCAATATTGTAAAGATTGTGTTAAATATCAATTTACTTTGCATCCTTCAACTCTTGATGGCAATGACAACATGAACCAGTTTTAAATTTTGGGATAAAATCTTTAGTCAATGGACGCTTGAAGTACTTATGGAATACAATTTCTTAAAAATAATATTTGTCCTGCTTTTGGATTCACTCAGACTAACAGATTCTGCGAATATTATAAGCATTTGAGTGAGTCTGCATAAAGTGTTCTAAAAAGCATGACTAGGCAACGTTAGAGGCATGGGCAAAATGCTTTGTGTAAGTGTGAATAGCAGTTAGACCGCTTAACGCGATCTTGAGTAGATGCACTTTATTTATTTTTATTTTTTCCCCCTTTTCAAAAAACCTTATATTTAACTTTAGTTTATTAATTATTTTTTTGTTTTTCTAAAAGGCTTCTATTTGACTTTAGTTCAAGTTTTTCAATGATTTTATCTGTACAAAAGTGAAAAATGACTTTATTTGATAAAGATTTAGATAATATTTAAGCTACGATGCTATTTAGCCTATGTTAGGCCCTAATTTTTTTTCAAAAGCTCATTTTTAACTATACATTCTTTCATAAATTAATTTTACACATAAATAAAAAACTTTTTCATCTTTTTCAAAAATTTACTACTCCAAAGTATATTTTCTTATCAAAACGAGGCTCAAACAGGTTCAAGACTTGAGATTTTATTAAAAACTTCGAAAGTATACGTTAAGCAGGATTTGTACCTGTAGCTAAAATGAATCCTCCACCCGCAAGCCCAAAAAAATGATTTTGATAAGAATCATTAGCAGGGATAATAACGCGATTCTGTTGATACATTTCCTGTGCTACTATATTGTTTCAGAAGAGACACGAGCATAGGGAAAGGGAAGAAGTCGATATTTTATTGGATGGAACTTTCAATTATCTTGATAGAAATTTGATATATCCTTTTGGGCAAGCAGCAGTCATCGATTTTAGTTGAGGATCATTGATGGTAAATTTGGGCGCTGCAAGTGAATTAAACAAATCACAAGGCATAGAGGTGGAGGTCATAAGCGTCAATGCCGTAAAATTGATTTTCAATGGAATGAAAAAGGTTGAAACTATAAAAAAAAAGTAGATTTTGCAGTTCAAAAATTTGAAAATTATATAATTAGTTAATTTTAGGAATTATTAAGTAAATAGAGTATTTTATAATTTTAGATGTTTAATACATATTATTTTAATTATTAAGTAATTTTTAGAATGATTAAATATTTAAAATAATAATAAAAATAAATGACGTCTTTTTACACCTAGATCTCAGTATGGCTCGTAATGCTTGAAACTTGGCCTCCGTACATAATAATGTTTTATATTTTTTAGAACACTGACATAAAATAATGTCATCAATTTCGTAGGTGGATGGATTGTAACAAATAATAAGGTGATGAGTGACTATTGTTTCACAATGATTTATTATCGATCATAATTTAATCTCAATTAACTCTAACAAGCGCACACAATTAATTTATGATTTTGGAGATTGCTTTCTAAGTTGCTAGTTAAATTATCTAATTTGGGCAAGCACGAAGATCATATAAAGCACTCGATTACAAATGCATCGTTGTGCTACATGGATCGATCATCAATTGCGGATTCTGGTCAATTCTTGTCCTAAATTATTAGTCAAATTTCCCATATATATTAATACTCTCCCTCGAAGTCAATCACTCGGATTCAGTTGCCCGCAAAGGTCTTTTGATAATTTTTTCTTCTGTATCTTGATTGATTTTCAGAAAAATAAGTTATGGAAAGCACAAGTTACAAACATATCCATGTGTGACACATGCCTTTGTAGATAAGAATAATGTAATTTGCAGTTGCTTACTATCGCAGTTATCCTACGTGGCATGCACGTAGCGATTAGTAATTTGATACATAATGTAATAAAAAACTATCACATTCATGTGTCAAATAACTAATTGTCACATATATGCCACGTAGGGAGACTAAATGAATGAGTGATTACAAATAATATTACTCTTGTAGATAGACTGCTCCACAATGCATGTTGGGAACAGGCCTAAGCTTGGGTTTGGGCAAACGAGGAATAGTTCCCAACCCATACTTGTACTTAACGGTCACATCATTGCGTTACAAAAGTACAATAATTTATTGTTACCTTCCTAGACCTATCCCCGCCAACCCACTCCAACCTTTGCAAAAAGTTATTAAATTAAATTTTAATTTAAGTTAAACTCAACAATTAATTTTAATAACATATTTTATTGAATCCATAACCTTTCAGCAATACATTTCCTTAATTTCCATCAATATCTAAGACAAATATAATTCGATAAACAATTGTTAAGAATAGAAAAACAACAAAATAGGGTTAAATACACTATGGGTCATTCAACTTTGAGCGTTTGTGTATCTAGGTCACTCATTTTTCTCTTTGGAACAATCAAATCAATCAATTTCGATTTGCTTAAAAATCTAGTTCATCATCTTCAATTCATACCATAAAGTCGTTGCTTGCAAATCTAGTTATTCTATTAATTGTCCTGTCAACTTAACTAATGTTATATACTACCCGGAACGCTAATATATGATTACCATATATACTTACGCCGCACAACATCTGTCTTAAAATAATTTCTTAAAAAATATATATATATTTGTTTCGCACGGGTAGTCGCTAACAATTAAAAAGGGATCAGACGATTGTGTAAGGAACAAACCTTTTGAAATAAAGTCCCAAAAAGGGGTGTTTTATTGGCGATGACTTTACAATTGGAACTTAAACAGAATGCCTCTAAGGGGCGCAAGCACACGAGTACTGAAAAGAAATGTTTAAGTCTAAACTAAGAAATTGAAATTACATATTCTTTGTTTGAGAGTGTTTGATTCGGGCTCCTTTGCTCTATGTCTTCTCTTCCTTTTATATTCCCTTGATGATTTCTTCGTGATCAATTGCTTAAGAACTGCTTGATTGTTTTATAACTACCCACTTCCTTCATGGTGGCTAACTTATCGTGGAACTACCGTCTTTAACTGCTACCACTACTTTTTGTCATTCAACCGTCTTCAACCGAACTCTTTGAATCGTGGAACGTGATAAGATTACTCAATAACTGTTTCGATAACTGCACTTTTGGATAACCATAACATCTTATGTTTGCTAAGATCTTGGGCGATTCGAAGGTTTGGGCGAGAACAGGGTTATAATTATGGGCGACTGCAAGGCACTTCATTCGCTCAGATCTTGGGCGTCTTGCAAGTTTGGGCGATGGTGTTACCGCGTTCGTGGGCTTCCACTGCATTCATTAATAACCCTATTTGGGCCTTTATCCTGAATTGCCCAGTTGTGCTTCATTCTTTGGACTATTCGATTTTGGCTGCACTTTTAGCGTGTCAACAATTACCCCCCAATATGGCAGAATTAATACTAATTATTAATTTTTGCCATATTCACCTTGTGTTTCCCAGTAACATTTGAAATTTCCAAAAATTTCAATCATTATTTTCTTCCATAACCTGAAAAGGCGCGACGTTGCAAACCCTTATAACCCCCAAATACACGTCATTTCATCGTACCACTAAATCACGCATCATTGTTTCGCGCTTCTATCTCGCAATATTACTGTTCATCTTTTTGCTTCTCTGCTACGTTTCTCAAGCAAACTTCAACAAAACTTTATTTCGTTCCCAATGGCTGCTTCGTAAACCCAATCTGGTGACTCTTTCAGTTTCGAAGACTTCCAGAAAATCCTCACTCGGCCATATATAACTCCGAACTTCCTTGCACCAGCCAATGCTTAACTCAATGAGTTCTATCTAGGTCCTTCATTCAACAAAGTCGAGACCGTCGAACAAGTGGCGGTGGGCCAGTTGTTTCCTTGTACTCAAGGCCCTCCGTTTCTGAACTCTTTGCCGCTGAGGCCGCTTCGCGAAAGATGTATTCGCACTTGGCCTAAATCTGATGTTATTTTTCGTAGATGGCATGCTCGCCTTGTGGGCCATGGTCCTACCAAGGCAATTTTTGATAGTGCTAGGATTTTTGATTTGTTAGAAATCTCTCTTCAACCCCCTATTTTTGATCCAGCTCTTTTCTTTATTGTTTTAAATTTTTGGTCCTCTGAGTATAATACTTTTGTTTTCCCCCTTGGTCCCATGTCCATTACTTTAAGGGATGTTGGAGCCTTAGTAAATCTACCACCTTTGGGCGATACCATTTTCCCTGGTATTTTAATTTCTGGTGTTGCCCCAAAATTTAACAAAAAACTCACCGAGTCCTATTCAAGCCTGCAAAGCTGTTGTAATCACTCGAGCGCTGAGCCTTCTCATGCTGAGCGTGTGGCCTTTCTTCAGATTTGGCTTTGTAAATATATTCTGTGTGTGCTAAGCATGAAGCCTTCTATGAGCTATTTACCCATAGCGCACGAATTGACGCGTGGTATGCCTCTGAATTTGTGTTCTTTCTTTTTGGCTGCCCTCTATAGAGGCATGGCTTCTCTTCAATTCCAATTGAAGAATGGTGCATCTCCCACTGGCAGTGGGCCTCTTTGGTTCACTCAAATGTGGTTGAGAACCTATTTTCCATCATTTGGTGCTCTATCCTTGTCCCTTCATTCTGCTAGCTGCTATGGGCTAGCTATGGACCCACTGAGCCCTGTAAATATATCCAGAAGGGACATCTTTTCATTCTTTTATACTTTGAATTCAATTCCTTCTTTCTTTCTTTTTCCTCCCCCTTTAACTCCAGATTATGTGCAACCCCCGTCTACCTTGGACAGTGCGAGTACCTCTCTACTCGTTTGGGTTCAATTTTTTACCGGGAGGGAGTTGTTCCATGATATTTTGACCGGAACCAATGCCAAAACTGGGGTTGAAATATATGCTCTCCAATTTTTTGCTCGTCAACTTGGTTTTGGCCAAACTTGGCCTGTTCCCCCTTGTTATTCAAGAAATTTGATAGATCGTTTCCACACCATTAATAAGGCAGAGGCAGAAGCTATAGATGCTCGCAATATTCTTTTGACGAGTAACTTTTCATTAGCTCCCT